TCATAAAATAGTAAAATTTTGCTTAACTGATGCTTAAGCTTCTTCTTATGGGTATGCTGTTGCTTGGTGTGGATTACCCAGCAACTTTTAAATATTTACCACTCTTTATCCTAATGAAAATGGGAAAAAGTGGGTTGTGTCAGTCAGGCTCCTGGCAGGAGGAAAAAGCTAAGTTTGGGCTTGGTTAAGCACAGGTTTGCTGGGGTCTGTGCAGTATGTGTGGATGACACAAAGCTGTGAAGAGGATAGCTCCCCTATTGGCAGGACCACAAGGAGCTTCCAGCTGTATGGCAAGGCCTGGCAGATGTCTCTCCCGCCACCTCAAAGCGGTCTCACCCTTTTTTGCATGGACACTCAACCAACCTGCTGAGAATTCTGCAATCCATTGATGCATTTTTGTTTGCCCCTGTGAGATGGTTTAATGTTGCTGATAATGTCTTGGTGAGTGGGCCTTTAACTGCACACAGGAGTACAATTAAACCCATGCCGTTTCTGGACACCTTATTGTGCGCCTACCCATTGCTCCAGAATCTGGCTCAGACATGTAGAATGACTTCTGGGTAATGGCTTGATTAGAATCCTACGAACTAATGAAAGTGATGGGAGTATGAGCTGAAACTGCTATGGCAATAAATACAGTTACTGTGACCTTAAAGGTTAGCCTGTCCTTACAACTCATTGGAGTATAGAACATGTAGCTGCTTTTATAATTTTTTGGCTAGAGGAATTACAGGGTGTTTTTATTAATATCATAGCTTTTAATTATTGGTTGACTGTTTACAGGGTTATAGAGCCTGTAGTTGTAAGGGGATTTAATATTTGAAACTTTTGTCTCGGATCTTTATGTTTTTTCCCTTTTTGATGTATCTCTCCCATTAAGTGACAGTTAAGTTGTAGAAGCAGAAATGTGCGGATGTATTACTGATTAGTAGGTAACTACATGTGCCTTGGCCTTGGAGTCCTGGCTGTCGCCTAATGGCTGCCACTGAAGAATGAATAATGTCTTGCTTTGAAGAAACTGATCATAGTAACTTACAGAATTATCTTTAACAGTACCTGGTTGACCATGAAGTAAAAACTTAATTAATCAAACATCTGTGCATGTCGGCTTGGTCATGAAGTTAAAAATAGAACTATCAAATGTGTGTGCAGTGGCTTGTGATGTGTCTGAGTAAATAAAAAGGACAGCTTCTTGAGCTGTTACAAGAGGGCACCAAGTGACAGTGTCTGTGTCTCTTCTTTTCACCGACTCCATGCGCTCTTCTCGAGGTCTGAACTTGGCTGGAGCTGGCCTCTGGCATAGGTTAAGTCCAGAAGAACTGGTGGAGCTGGGGAGGACTGGGGAGCAGTCTTCGTTCCTGGTTGGCCTAACAGCCTTTTGGGAGCTGGAGTTGTGAAGAAGGGCTTTCCAGCAGTGACTGAAGTCTCAGAAGGGATACCATCACAAAGAGGGAAACACATCGGCCACACCCAGGCTCTTCTAACTTTCAGTCTACCTTCATGGTTGCCCATGGAGGACATGAAGCTGTGGTTTCTTCTTTCTCCCAATCAAGGGAATCTCCCAGATCAACTCGGTGACAAATAAGAGGAAAAAGAGATCACACTTAAATCTGCTTTCTCGGCCAGCAGGTAGGCAGAGTTGAAACAGGTGCCCAAGTCTGGGATAATTTCTGGCCTGTTGCTATTAGAATGCTGGTCCAATTTGCAGGCAATTCAGACCAAGTTTGATGTAAGGGGTCTTGGTTCTTTGAGAAGTTGGCTTGACCGAGAAGGGCTGACTTAGCTGAATGTTTCTGGCAGAACCAGACACACACATTTTACTTGCACTGGTTGGTGACCAAAAGTTGCACCACTCTAGACAGGGGTTACTTTGCCACCACATGGTGAGATTTGATGAGAGATGAATAGTGTCTTCCAAACTCCAGTGTTCTCTTTCAGGGGTCTCTTCCCTTGTTCTTGTTGGGTATTTGTCCATTTAATAAATGAGTCAGGAAAGTGCTGTGTGTTGGGAAGAGCCACCGTATAGCTCAATTTGGGTACATCAACCTTTGTGCAATGCCATTGCACTGTTACGGTCTGTACTTGTTCCAAGGGTCATAAATATGAGCAAAACGTGTGTGTGTGTTTACCATTAAAGAACATATGATGAGGGGCAAAAACATGAAAGATCATAGTACATCATTGCATTTACATTCATAAACATGAATCAGGTACACAAATGATAGAGTAGCTAATTTTACTTGGAATACTGTAACAATGATAGAAAGTCCTACGTTATTCACTGGGAGCAGCACAGTGGTGTAATAAGTTGGGCTTCCACTTGTGGTGCTGGTATCCCATTTGGGAGCTGATTGGAATCTTGGTTGCTCCACTTCCAATCTGCTTCCTGCTGTTGCACCTGAGAAAGCAGTAGAGGTCCTTGGGCCCCTGCATCCATGTGGGAGGCCCCAAGGAAGCTCCAGGCTTCTGACTTTGCATTGTTTCAGTTCCAGCTGTTGCGGCCATTTGGGGAGTGGACCAGCAGATGGAAGAGCTCTCTCTCCATCTTTGTTTCTCTCTCTGTAAATCTGCTTTTCAAATACAAAAGTAAATAAACATTAAAAGATGAAAAAAGAAAGTCACACATCATTTATTGCTTGGATGATTTCTAAAAAAATTATTTATTTATTTATTTACTTGAAAGGCAGATTGACAGAGGGAGCGAAGATGAGAGAGACAGGGAATGAAATCAACAGTTCTCTCTACACTGGTTTGTTTGCCAACAGACTGGGCTACAACAGACAGGGCTGGGCCAGACTGAAACCAAGAGCCAAGAACCCCATCCTGATCTCCCAGGTAGGGTAGCAGGACCTCAAATACTTGGTCATCTTCTGCTGCGGTCCCAGGAGTATTAGCAAGGAGCTGGATTGAAAGCAAAGTAGTTGGAACTTGAAGCTACTCTCTGGTATGAGATGGAGGCATCCCAAGTGGTGGTTTCAGTCTGTTGTGCACAGTGCCTGCCTCTATTATTTGGATTAAATAATCAAATACCTATATAAAAGATGATGCCTCTGAGGAAGATAGTCTTAAACTTGCCTGCTAATAGTTATCAGGTAAGTATTATAGAAAATAGGCAACTTTTTCTTTCTATGTATGTGTTTCTTTTCAGCATTTAAGGGTGTATAGGTTTGTATACCATAAATAATTCTTTCTGAACCCCACCCATCCAATACTCACATCCCCCTTTTTCTTGCACAGAAAAACATCTCCAAGGAATTGTTAAGAGGCGTTTTCTCCTCTACTTTCATTTCCCAGCTTACTTTATCCATCTTGGTTCATATTTCCATTACGTAATCAAAATGACTGTCACTGAGGTTGACAATAGCTTCATGTTGCTGGAAAAACTGGCAACTTTTCAATCCTCAGCTTACTCAGCTTTTAGTAATATTTGATGTAACAGACACCAGTTCCTCTTCAAAACATTTGTTGCCTGTGGCTTTTGTGACATAATTCTCCTGTTTTTTTCTCCTCCTTTAGTGTTTCCTCCTCATGAGTGTTTGCTGGACTCTCTTGCGATGGCCAACTTTAGGTGTCAACTTGACTAGATTAAGGGAAACCCCAAAACCCAGAAAGGCATTAGGTGTGTCCTTGAGAGTGTTTGCTGCAGAGATTATCATGTGGATCTGAGAGAGCTAAGTGGAAAAGACTTACCTTCAAAGAATAAATAAAGATGGATCATTTGTCTCATTCTGTGAGCTGGGACTTTCTGGACCCCTGTCCTGGACACTAAAACTCCATGCTTGCCAACCTTTGGACTCCATAACCTACATAGGCAGCTCTCTCACTAGATGCTTAATGTTTTGGGTCTCAACTAGAGATTGTGGCCTTGACTTTCCTGGTTCTGAGGCTTTCAGATGTAAATTGAGCCACAGTATAGTCATCCCAGGGTCTCCAGCCTACACAAGCCCTATTGCACAATTTTCCAGCTCCTGTATTCATGTGAGGCAATGCTCCTAATAAATGTCCCTTTATAGCCTATTGTATAGCCTATTGCTTCTGAGTCTGTGTAGCCCTAATACACCTCTTCTGTATGACATTTTTAAAAAAGACTTATTTATTTGAAAGACCTAGTGCTGGGTTGGCAGGCGGAGGAACAGAAAGAGAGAAAGAGACATCTTTCATATGCTGGTTCACCCTCCAGATGGCCATAGTGGCTGGGCCAGACCCATGAAGAAGCTAGGAGCCAGGAATTTCATGTCGGTCTTGCACATGAGTGGCATGTCCCAACACTTGGTTCATCATCTGCTGCCTTCCCAGTTACATAAACAGGGAGCTGGATTAGAAGTAGAGCATCTGGGACATCAGTTAGTGTCCATATGAGATGCTGGCTGGCATCATGGGCAGTGGCTTAACTTATTATACCACAACACTGGCCACATTTTATAAACTCTTTAAATGTGATTTCTTTTTTTTTTTAAAGATTTATTTTTATTTATTTATTTAATTAATTAATTAATTTTAAAAAAGATTTATTATTATTATTTTTTATTGGAAAGGCGGATATACAGAGAGGAGAGACAGAGAGGAAGATCTTCCATCCGATGATTCACTCCCCAAGTGAGCGCAACGGCCGATGCTATGCCGATCCGAAGCCAGGAGCCTCTTCTGGGTCTCCCACACGGGTGCAGGGTCCCAAAGCTTTGGGCCGTCCTCGACTGCCTTCCCAGGCCACAGGCAGGGAGCTGGAAGGGAAGCAGGGCTGCCGGAACTAGAACCGGCGCCCATATGGGATCCTGGGCGTGCAAGGCGAGGACCTTAACCAGTGCGCCACCACGCCGGGCTCTAAATGTGATTTCTAAAAGACTTTTTCTTCTTTGTCTTGTCTGTTCATTCCCTCTCTCCAAGTGAACTCATCCCCACTCATGGCTTAGGTGATCAATTATACAACAAAGAAAAATGCATGTCCTTAGCCCAGACTTCTTGTCTAAGACTCAGATTAATATACATAGGCACATCCACTGGAACATCTAAAAGGCATCCCCAACTATTTATCCTTGCCCAGGGGCCATGCTAATCTTCTCTGTATCATTCTAATTTTAGTATATGTGCTGCCAAAGTGAGCACAACTCAACTTATTTAAAATAAAACTCATGGTGTCCCATGTCAAAATCGGCTGCTCTGCAATGCATACATCATCTACCCTGAAGTGTAGCTTATTCTGCTGCTTATTATTTTTTTTTATTTTAAGACTTATTTATTTTTATTGGAAAGGCAGATCTACAGACAGTTTCACCTGCCAGTCTACTGCACAAATGGCCACAATGGCTGGAGCTGAGCCGATTTGAAACCAGGAGCCAGGAGTCTCTTTCAGGTCTTCCATGTGGGTGCAGGGTCCCAAGGCTCTGAGCTGTCCTCTTCTGCTCTCCCAGGCCACAAGCAGGGAACTGGATGGGCAGTGGAGCAGCCGGAACATAAATTGGCATCCACATGGGACCCCAGTGCTTTGCAAGGGGAGGATCAGCCAACTGAACCATTGCAGCTCGCTCACAGCTTCATTTGTAACAGTTTCTTCCCAGTCTTTTCATACATCAAGTCCTGTTTGTTTTATCCAAGTATCCCTCTGTCTGATTACATTTCTCTTTTTCCCCATGCTATCCTCTTAAGTCTGAGCTACCATCATTTATCTCTCTTAAACTCTCCCAGTTGGTTTGCACACACACACACACACACACACACAGCTGTCTCTTCCCCAGTTCTCCACAGCATGACTGCAGTGATGATTTCAAAATATAGCACAAGGAAGAACGCTTCTTCTTTCTGCTCCCCAAGGCCCCCTCGGCCCCTCACTTCAGATCCAGTTCTCGTTTGACCTTGCCAGCCTCCTTTCAGCTGTTCTGCTTCTGTGCTGTTCTTGCTCAAGATCTTAGGAATGCCATTGCCTTTGTGAGAAGCTCTCCTCCCCCTTCTTGCTCAAACACCCTGGCTGCAGGGAGCCTTTCTTGAGTTCTAGATAAAGCCCCTCCCTTACTGTCTGCCATGCCTGCCCGTGTTTTTCTTTATCTGACTGTCTGATCTTCCATCTGACTTCCCCTCTATACTGTGATGTTTGTTGCAACCCATATCTGTTTTCCTCACTATGGGATACTTAGCTTAGTTAATGTAGTGCCAATTGCTTAGTAGGTCCTCAACAAATAGATTTTGGAAGGAAGCAAGCCTAAAGAGATGCTGGAATCCAAAAGGGCCTAGAGGGCAAGTGACTGAGGCCTGGTAGATTACCGCTTTAGGGATGAGTCAGGGAAGGTATGGGCAAGTAGGTATGTAGGTCATCGCAGTGATAATCTTTGGGCGGGAGAGAACTAAAGGGCTCTTTAGGGGACAAAGCATAGCACGGTGGCTGTGGCACTGTCTGTCCCCATGAGGGTACACGATAAGTCAGTAAACACACAAAACCATGAGCCAGAGAACTGCTTTCTTGGTGTGGGTTTGCTGCCAATCAGCTGTGTGTTCTTGTCCTCTCATTCTTAATCCCATCTACAAACCAACAGGGCTGGATTATTACAGCAATCAGAGCTCTTAGTGGTAAAGAACAATTACTGCCTCTGGGCAGCTGAAGCAAAAAATCAACTGACACAAAGGATTCTGGCTAGCTCACAGATGACCAGGAAGCCAAAGACCCAGATCCTGAAAAAGGGCGAAAACAAAGAAGATAGCAAAGTCAAACCAGGGCCAGAATCTTGGAGGGGCCCGACTGGGGCTAGGCCATTGGGGCCGCCACACGGTAGTGTGTGCAAGCCCAAGCTTGCGGCTGTGCCAGAAGTGGGCACTGGACACCCCTGCTGGCCCCATCGGCATGCTGCCCTTGGAAACTGGATACTGCTGCCTTTGCTGACACTCTCGGAAAGAATTCGCCTCCCCTGTTTCATTTTCTGCATCACTAACTCGTGACTCAAAAACCTGAGCAAGTGCATCTGACATCCCTAGGTAGGTTATGTTCTGGAGCTCTCATCAGCCAGAGGCCAACTCTGCCACTCAGCTACGTTTTTAAGAACAGCGCCCCCCAGGGGAGAAAGCAAGAGGATCAGATTTAAGGGCTGCTCATAAACCACATGTTCAGCAGGACATGCGGGGGCCTTCATGTGAACAGTCCAAGGCTCTGCTGTCATGAGAATGGATTCAGGCATCACCCCAGCTGCTGAGTAAAGCTCTGTCACTGGGCCCAGCACAGTGCCTCAGTGGCTAAATCATTGCCTTGAATGCACCAGAATTTCATAAGGGCACCAGTTTGTATCCTGGCTATTCCACTTCCTTCCCAGCTCTCTGCTTGTGGCTTGGGAAAGCAGTAGAGGATGGCCCAAAGCCTTGGGATCCTGCACCCATGTAGGAGAGCTGGAAGAAGCTTCTGGCTCCTGGCTTCGGATTAGCTCAGCTCTGATCATTGTGGAGTGAATCAGTGAATAGAAGCTCTTTCTCTCCCTCTCTGTATATCTGCCTTTATATATATATATATATATATATATATATATATATATAATTTTTTTAAGCTGCATTATTACTGTGCCACAAAACATCTGTTCTGGACCTGGTATGGTGGCCTAGGGGCTAAAGTCCTTGTCTTGAACGTGCCAGGATCCCATATGGGTCGGTTCTAACCCCAGCAGCCCTGCTTCCCTTCCATCTCTCTATGTGGCCTGGGAAAGCAGTTGAGGATGGCCCAAAGCCTTGTGACCTTACACCCGTGTGGGAGACCTGGAAGAAGCTCTGGCTTTTGGCTTCAGATTGGCTCAGCTCCTGCTGTTGCCACCGCTTGGGGAGTCAATCAATGGATAGAAGCTCTTTCTCCCTGTTCCTCCCCCTCTCTGTATGTCTGACTTTGCAATAAAAATAAATAAGACTTTAGAAAAAGAAAAAAAAACCTGTGTCCTGTGTTCTTTTTAGTTATTCTGGAGGTGGACTTGAATGTCCTTATATTACGTGTTAAAACTGAGCCTTTGAAGTTAGCCTGATGGTCATGGCTGCACAGCCCTAAAATTAGGGTATTATTGAGTAACCCAGTAACCTGGTGACTGGTCAGAGTTCTCGGTCTGTGGCAGGGTGTGTGTTAATTCTGATTTTCAGTGGGCAGATGCTCTTTCTATTAGAGTGTCTATTTTTAAATGTGGCAAATGTCAATTCTCTCGCAAATGTCAATATCCATTTTCAAAGACATGCTGGTTGCTTGGTTTGTTTTCCTGGCAGAATTTACTCTGCAAATACACATGTCACATTTATCATGAATGGTTCTTTTTGGAAAGAAGTCATACTTTTTGTTTTTCTAAATTCTTGCCAGCACTCTATTTATTTGAACCAAGAGCTAAAAAGAATTAACGAGAAAGAGATGCTGGAAGAACAGGGTCCGGGATTTGGGGGTAATTTATGTGCCTTCTTTGAATGCTGTTTTTTCCCCTCTCTGCTTCCTTTTTTGGCATTTACTGCAGCCAACCTGCAGGCGTGAAGTGAAATCATTCAGTGTGGATGGCTGATTTCGCTTTAATTTGCTACTACTCCAAGGTAAAGCAGAGGTGTGAATATCAAGTCATGTGGCTGGTGTCGCAGAATCCTCTGCCATCTCACACGTTGGAATGCAGGGAGAGCTCCTTACACTGTCGCCACTGGAAGATCTTATGCTTACGCTGAAAGTCTCTGCTCACAGCATTTCTGGAATATCTTTGTAAGAATCATTAATTTGAAAAAAAAAAAAAGAATTACTAGTCTCAGCTGGGGTAGGACTCTCCAGCAGTCCCTGGTGACAGCAAGCCTGTGTGCTTTGGGGCGCTCAGGAGGAGGCAGTGCCCTCAGGTCATGGTGGAGTGTGCGCTCTGGAAGCAGAGGGCTCTGGTTTAAATGCTCTCTGTCACTGACAGCCTTGCGCTACACCAGCTCCGGTATTCAGAGCTCGTGTAAAAATGAAGGAAATGGCACTTTTTTTTTTTTTTGCTGGTTTGTTGTGAAGATTGTGAATGAATCGGTGTGTGCTGGATTCACAGCCTGTAAAAATTCAAAGTGCTAATGCTCTTTTATTTGTTCCAATGTTCTTAGTACAGTGTCCCAGCCAGATGAGGCTGCTTTGCTCAACTACTTTGAGCCCTCTGAGTCTTTAGTGGTATTTTTTTCCTTGCTGTTTCTCTTTCTCTCTTTAAAGACTTATTTATTTTTACAGGAACGGTGGAGTTACAGAGAGAGAAGGAAATAGAGGTCTTCATTAGTTGATTTACTTCGCAACTGGACACAACAGCTAGAACTGAGCTGATCCCAAGTTGGGAGGCTGAGTTTCTCCCAGGTCTCCCACAAGGGTGCAGGGGCCATGACCCATCTTCTGCTGCTTTCCCAGGCCACAGTCAGGAGCTGCATCAAAAGTGAACTAGTAGGAACTCAAACCAGTATCCTTATAGGATGCCAGTATTGCAGGTTGAAATTTAGTATGATACACCACCACACCAGCTCCCATGTTTCTCATCTTTTAAATCCCCTTTCCCAGGCCCAATGTGGTAGCCTAGCAGCTAAAGTTCTTTCCTTGCATGCGCTGGGATCACATATGGATGCCGGTTCTAATCCCAGAGGCCCCGCTTGCCATCCAGCTCCCTGCTTGTGGCCTGGGAAAGCAGTCAAGGACTGCCCAAAGCCTTGGGACCCTGCACCCGTGTGGGAGACTTGGAGGAGGTTACCGTCTCCTGATTCGGATTGGCATAGTTCTGGCTGTTGTGGTTGCTTGGGGAGTGAATCATGGGATGGAAGATCTTCCTCTCTGTCTGAATTCTCCTTTCTGTACTATCTGACTTTTCAATAAAAAAGTAAAAATAAATCTTTTTAAAAGTCCCCTTTCCCATCTTTCACGTCCAAAGTTTATTTCTCCTTTGATGTTTGTCTTGATCTAGAAATAATTCTAATAAATTATTTGGTAGTATAGTTTGCCCAAGGTCTCCAACTCTCTTGCAGGTGTTAGGGATGGTCTTAGTGTTCAGCTGTCACTTGGCAGTGTTTACACTCTACAAGTCCATACTGTAACACTAGGATGTGTTATCTTTGTGCAACTATAACCCTGTGTTAAAATTCTACCTTGTTCTGGAAGTTTCCAGGCCTCTTACTTA